AAACGTATACAGCTTCTGTGTGCTTTTATTAACATTGGAATTTATTGTGATGCAAGCGGCTACCCTGACCAGCAAATTGGTCAGGGCCGGCCCTGAGTGTTAGATTGCTTCTTTTCTCAATGGAAAGTAGTAGAAAGGAAGGACTTCCAGGTGTTTGCTGTCTTTTTCAAAACAGTTAACACTCTCTAACATTGTTAGATTATTATTAATTATTATTATTATTATTATTAATTATTGTTTGACATTGCAGAGGGCTGCTTTTTTAAATAGAAAATATTCTCCTTGCACACGCCCAGTGCTAAGACTGACACTGTGGTTCCGGTCCTGCACAGTAGACATGATGGAGGTGGCTTCTGATACATTTCTGTTGCAGCGATGCAGCACAGTCTGGGCTGCAGAGATATTACAATGTAGAGTACACTCAGACAATTGGCCGTGGATGAAAACAGGCTCGAGGCATAAAAAGTGAGTGTACAATATGCCTCACAAAAGCAGTAACAGTAAACAGAGCTCTGCTGAATGTAATGCAGAAAGGATGGTAAAGCCACAGTAGGTCACGTCACATTTCATATCCCTAGGTCCTAGAGTCTTCTTTAATGCAAACCCAGAGAAAATAGTGAGCATCAGAAGGCTATTATGACCTCACAAGCACTGTGCGGTAATGTGTGATTGCGGATTTAATATTCAAGAACAGACCTCTCATAAAATACGTTCATGGCATGAGTCCGAAAATAGAACGGGACAAAAGACTGAAGGAATATAACTCAAATCATCCACACCACTCTGCCAATGATGGAGCAGTTTCAAGCCCAGAGCTTTGCGCAGAGAAAATAACAATGCAGAAATACACAGAGCGGAGCACTACACTCAACCACAAGGGAGGTCAAAGCTGAAGGCTAGAAATAATTCATATTCAGGGGGCTATGAAATATGAGCTTTGTGTGCTGTCAAATAGATTTAGCTGTAAAAATGATTTTCATTTTGTTCCATAAAGATGCTCATACTTTTACAGCTCCGCCACCTATAGAAGCAGGCCTTGATGATTTGCTTAGAATGTACAGCCAATGTCATAATCAAAGCCGGTCTCCTTTTGCATGCTTAATGCCGCCTTGAAGAAAACCGGAATGGAAATCATCCTTTTCACTTCAAAAAGTCAGTAACTCTCTGCTACTTTGGTTAGTTTAATGCTTGGATGGATAGGCCATGCTCCCTGAGTTAAAAGAGAAAGCCAAGACTTTCTAAATTCATCATTCTGGTGCCCCATGAATGAACACACACTGCTGCCACACAAGAGGTGTTTTAAAAAAAAATAAAGAACGTGATAGCATCTGGAATAATTTGCCTAGTTTGTGAATGTCATTTGGACATAAGACATCAGAGAGTCCACATCTCAAAGAGTGGACTGACTGTGAGAGTCAGTCATCAATGGACCTCTGTACTGATAGAGCCACAGTGACTCGCTTTAAAATGTAGTGACACAGCCTGTAGAAGCATCTCATAAATTGTGGGCCGTCATTCCCATCGACAGTTTGTACTACAGAGCAGCAAGCCTGGATAGATCGTTGCTTCAGGACACTATTGTTATTTGTGTTCAGGAGCACTGATTGAATTATTCAAACAAATCAAAGTGACACGTTAATACTGACATGTGACATTGGCTGTAAACGCAGCACTGTTCTCTGCACACATACAGTTTAGCATTCAGCTCTTTGGTTCATCAAACGTATTATTTTTATCAAATTTGCAATGTTTAATAAAATCTGTTCTGATGTAAATTAAAGTGGACCTATTATGCTATATTTGAAAAATATATTGTAGGGCCATACCGATACAAAACGTTTTTTCAAAATACCAAAAGGATCACCCATTGTAGCCATGCCTCATACTGCTCAAACCCCTCTTTTGCAGCTCTGTTAGAGAAACGCGGATCTCGGGTCCTTAGCTTGAAAAAAAAAGAGAAGAGGCCTGATCAGAATTCTACCGGAGATAAAGTTAAACGCCATCCTGTTTAAACCACGTCAAGGATTATTTCTGAAATAGTATGGAGCTCAAATGCTTTTTCTCTTGCAGGTTTATCACAAGGTGAGTTCTTTTTTTATTTCCTGCTTTTTAAACACATGTGCTCTCCAGTACAGGTTACTGAGTGTTAGCGAGGCTTGCAAATGTAAACAAAAACGAGATTACGTCCAAAACACATCAGGCATTGTTTCTGATAGCAACTTTCTGTGGGTCCGCCGACGTCAGAGCGGATGGAAATTTGTATCCGCTCGTTGTACACCCGTTTTAAAAAGATTTGGGTACGTAGGAAAAGACGAGAGGGTTTTATTTTCTGACGCTGCGTGAGTTCCCTGACATATTTATGTATAAAAGACATCACAAAGTGCATTTTGCATGATAGGTCCCCTTTAAGTAATGTTCATAATTTCTAGGTTATTGTAAAAAGCAGAGAAAACGCTATAGTTGGCATAAGAAGTGATAGTTGAGACTACAAACAAAACGGCACCAACCACCAGAAAGGTACCTTGAGACTCACTATTTAAATCTTTTTTTTGGCCAGTTGGGGGCAGCAGAACAGCCTGAAAAAAGACAATCACCTTTGCAATTAAAAACTTGTAACAAATGTTATCAAACAAATGCCTTACACAACCAGCAGACACTAGCATATTAGTATCCTTTTGGATTTGTAGTTATGCCCACATAATATATCTAATGCTACATTTCCACTTCATGGTACCACATAGCGGTTTGCCATTAGCAACAATTGTGAATAGTATTTATTTGGCATCACCTCAGTTGTGGTTCCAAGCCAGCTCAGTCGATAGAAGACAGTTGACTTAAAATACCTTAAGCCACTTATCGGTCAAAGAGTATTCTCAGAACTGTCCTTTTGCAACAGGTCATCCTTTACAAACATACTATTTTTAAATTGCCCTCAAACTAAGGTGTACACTATGTTGCAAAGTGCTGCAGGTAAGATGATGCCACAGCAGTTTCACACATTGCGTCTTCTTCAACTGGAAAAAATAGTGACCCTTCGATACAAACTCTTGGAAGTTTAAGTGAAGTGCAGAAACACCACAGCAATGAGTGCTTACCTTATGCTCAAAGGTTTCAAGGATTGCCACTTCTAAGATGCAAAATTGCCTCATTTGATCACAATATGTTAGAAGTGGGAATTTGTATGTTCCAATTTGAAGTTGAAATGTATTCTTGGCCTTTGAGTTGCTTGAGTTTTGTTGGCGCAAAAGGCCAACTGTCTGTCCACCCCCAGCTTACAGATGAGGATAAAAATGCTCTATCCCCTCCTCTTCTTCACACACACCCCGTACCCCAAAGCAATGTGGTTGACAAAGCAAGGAGGAGTTGCCCTCGCTCTCTGACTGCACCACTGAACCGGAATGTTGTCCAGCGAGGAAATCCAGACATTTAATTTATCGTTGAATAAACTGGCAACGTCGAGAGCGGCTGACAGGCCATTCATCGTGGTGGCCGCTGGCCCAATGGCATGAGCGGACAGGGCTGCTGCGCTTTGATTTCCTGTCTAAGCCGCCATGACAGATGAGCTACGGAGAGGGTGGAGGCGTTGCAGCCTCTCACCACCACAAGGCTTCACCTCTCTGCCCACCACTTTAACCACACTCGTCAAGGCGTACGGGCCGCCAAGGCTTAAGGGCCGTCAGGGGCCATCGGGGTGCAAGTGGTAAGATGGTCATGCAAAGTGAGTACTTTGACTCCATCAGTGGTGAGCAGTCAAAGAATACTGTAAGGTAGCTGATGAAACGATAAAGAGCAGTGGTGGTCAGAAATATCAACATACAAAGACTGCCAAAGCTCAATTCACATCTAGAGGTTTTAACTAGGCCAAATCCACCAGGATGTATTTACTGGAAGAATTTCAAGGGGAGTAAAGTTCACAAGAGATTGATTGAACAATTTTGTACAATAACACTGTAATGAGATCATTTTCAGATGAAATTGAGTCAATGATGAATGGCTGAGGAGAAGAGGAGGATGGCTGTAATTCCTCAGATAATATACAGAAGCTTCAGAGGCGGCAATAAGAGGCTGGTGAAAACAGCATTTAGAGAGAAAACACTGCAAATTAGAAGCAAAGGGAGCACATTTCAGTGTACAGGCAGTTCATTTTTCACATCAGTGTCTACTTTTGTTCCCGGCAAGCTGCCAAAGACATTTATGTAGGCACTATTCCTCCTCCACAGCGGTAATTATGCTGCTGGCCAATGCTTGATTAAAATATCTAATCTGCAAATTTAGTGTTCAACATCCCCCAACAACTTCCCATGCTTTAAGCCCGCTCTGTGTCGTTGGGATCCAAAATGTTTTGTCATGGACAGCAGCCAATGGAGTGTGTGGATGACATCCTTTTGCTTTCTATTTTGTGTCAGGGTAAAGGAGTAATTGCACCAGCAGATGTATTATTCAAGAGGAAAGCTTGTCAGGGATGGTCCTGGATTGAAATTATAAAAGCTTTAGAAGGCAGAAGTCAGGCCTTCACTGGGAATTAAAACAAGCAGACTGTGTCTCTTTTTCACCCGGAGCTTAATTATGGCTTCACTAAATTGTCAATTCACAAGGGTGCAGAGAGACTACATCAGAATAAGGAAAAACCATGAGGTTAGTTTATCAACAAGGTTATATTATATGTTATTGTGAGAATATGACCATTGCAATACATTACACGCTCCTAGTGCTACCATATGAAATAAAGACTGTAGTAAGTTCAGTAACGTCACTAAACACTGGCTGTCCAGTATCATACACTTAGTATAGGACTATTATTATAGAAACAGAAAATAATACCTTACAACAAGGTCACCATGAATTGACTGGAGATGAGCAGAGGCACATTACAAGTCTGCAGGAGGGTTTTATGGGACATTATAAGAATTGTTTTATTACGGGATCACACCATGTGCATCCCAATAAGAAGCGCTGAGACAATGCTGACAAAAGTGACACAGAGCCAGAAGTGTCCTTACCCTCTCTGAGCAGATGGGAGTAGATGAGCCACAGGAGCAGCAGGCAGCACAGTGACGCACCTCCACCTGCGGAGAGTGTCTTCGCCCCAGACTGCATCCTACACCTTCAGCCCTTTCCCCTTTTCTGTAGATTATCCAAACTTTGAAAGCTCGTGGCGCTCAGATGTCAAGCAGATCAGCGGGAGAGTGGCTAATCCAGTGGCGTCTCCACAGCCTGTAATCGGCATCCATTTTGAGGTTATAATAGGGAGAGCGACTGATAGAAATCCCCCCGTGCTTTTCAAATTCCCTCGGTGAGCTGCATATCCATCCAGGCACGCACACACACACGCGCAGAGGGTACAATGTCACCAGATCCGGCCAAGTTTACGCAGCTGTGGTTGCAGGGCTCACTGGCAGGCTTCTGCAAAAACTGTAACTATGTAGATGGAGAGCAGCAGTCCTCCGCAGTTTTGATCCTCATGCTGATGATGCTGGTAGTGAATCTTAAAAAAGAAATTCAGCCTCTCATCATCCCCTCTACACCGCTGTCCCTTCCTTTTCCCTCCTCTGCTCCCCGCACTGTTGTTATGATGATTCCCAACCAACTTCTGCACACAGCGCGGCTCTGTGTGACTCTACGGAGAAAACGCGCAAGTTCACCCAGGCGGACATGACGAACATAGCAATCAGCGCAGAAACTTGTCCGAAAAACGCAACACTCCTTTATCCAAAAATACGGCTAAAAAAAGCTGAAGGCGCAGGTGCGTCACATGCGACCACAACACTGCAGGTAAAATGTCAAAAAGATTGGCGCGTTTACGCACTGCCTATGGACAATATACGCGCGTCAATGCAGTGAAGTTGGTCACACTTGTCACCTGTATGAGCCTTTGAGAATGATCTGCAAAGATGGACAGTGCCTTGCACCTCTGATTTGCCAGAAAGAGCTCTCCCTCCTCGCAAAGTCAAGTGTCGGATGCTGATGTGAGTGTTTTAACCCAGCCTCATTCTGCCCCAGCCGGCCACATTTGCATGTAGGCGACGCAAGAACAAGAAGAGGATTTCCTCCCTTCAATCCATGGAAGAAAACGCTGCTGCTTGCCCGCCTTGAGTTACAATGTTTCCATATGCTCTCTCTCTCTCCTCCACACACACGAATACACACAGTGCCCCAATTCCTTCCGCAAAAAACTTTGAGCTCCCAGGCTATAAATCCCAATCTGTAGATGATGCTGCTTATTTATACACATTTAGATGTCCCGTCTCAGCCCACAGGGAGACACCAAGCAGTACCAGCCTCCCCACAGTGCGACATGTTACTTTTCTCCCAGTCTTTATGCCCTCTTTCATAGGTGGAACACGCCCTGGAGGGTTGCACAGAGACACTTAACATTTAACACACACTGGCATTCTGGGAAAATGTGAGAGGTCTGTTCCTTCAGCGGGATGGCAGAGGAACATATGCAGTGCCTTAGAGCTCTTTAAGGCAGAAGTTACATTTTGATATACTATCTAATATCACATCGGGTGTGCACACGCATGGGGCACATGCTTCCCCTAGTGTGTGTGTGTGTGTGTGTGTGTGTGTGTGTGTGTGTGTGTGTGTGTGTGTGTGTGTGTGTGTGTGTGTGTGTTGGCTAAAGCCTTACAGATGCCAGTCTATCATCTGAAAGAGCACCATTTAAGACTCCCTCGCCACTGGAGGACACACACACACACACACTGCTGTATTCTTTTTCCAGCTGCCTGTAAATATCATGGAAGTTGCAGATGCAGACTTTTAAAAGATAATGAGCATTTTTTTTGGGAGGAGGCTAAATTGCTTTACAGCCGTACAGCTGTTACAATCTCAAATCATCTTGGCATACATCTTGAAATTAGATTTACATTTTACACTCTATTGTGTGCCAGGACAACGCCCATAAAACAACTGAAAACACTTATTCGGACCGTTTCATAGCCTGTCAGATGTTCTTTCTTTTATAACTGAAAAACATATATTTGCTGCACTGATTCTTTACATATATTGTTTTGTAAAATGTTGGAGTGAGCTGTTTCCTTGAGATCCATTCAGGGTTGTTTTCTATGCAAACATTATTTTTTCATAATTGTGTAGTACAATTGTTTTGTTGATAATAGTTGAATGCAATGGTCTCTTTACCTAGAAAATACAGTGCGCAGCAGGTCCATTTTTCTTACTTTTTCCTACATATTATTAATTATTTCCTATAGATTATTATGAATCCAAAATCCCGGTTATAAGACCCTATATTGTTCTAACCCTGCTGTCCTGTCTCATCATTTCTCACTGTAGAAAGGGAAAGTTTGGGAAACAAGAGCAACACAGCAAACCAGGACAAGACTGTTGACAGAATCACCACACAGCATGGCAGATACTGTCCTGTTCTGTCACTGATGGCGTCTCTTGTGATGACTGTAAGGGGACTAGGAAATGGCATCATGAAAAAATAAAATAAGATAAGCAGCAGAAAATCCTTCTTCTTAGTTGTATGTGCTAGACGGGAAAACCACACACACACACAAAATTCTAAGATGCAGATGGAGAAGTTCCCCCTGTGTGCTGCTTTGCCATCAGCCTCTCACTGAATGGCTTTTATGATGACGTATTGGCCCGGGCCATAGCCTGTCACATCATCACTGTAATGTATGACAAATGACTGGGCCATACACTGCACAGAATTTGTCAAGTATTAAAGGGGGACTTTTGCAGCTTCTTCAAACATGCGGATGGGATTCTGCATTTCTCTAACCAGCCGTAGCAGCCTATATTACTTGGGCGTTGGTGGAGCAACAACAGGGAGGGTGTGATTAGTTTTCTTCTCGCGTCTGCGTCTACGGCTTGGCTCAGCCAGCTATCGGAGTCTGGAGAACCACGTTTCAGTCTGTCAGAGTGGCGTCCCAGCAGGGGTTGCAGTGTAATTAATCATAATCCATCACTGTGACTGACAGGATTGAGAACAATTCTGCTAGTTTATTTATTACATTTTTTTACACAATAAACTTTAATGTCCAGCAATAATATAAAGATTTTTATTTTTTTTATTACGCTATAATAATGCCAGTGTGAACTTTAGAAGAAGCTCTGCAGTAACAACAAAATCATTAAAAAAACATATTAATAATGACTCACTCATTCATTACATTACATGTTAGACGCTTTTATCCAAAGCGACTTACATACTCAGTACTGTGGACAATCCCCACAGGAGCAATTTGGGGTGAAGTGTCTTGCCCAGGGACACAACGACATGCTGACTGCAGTGGGGTTTGAACCTATGACCCCCTGATCCCAACACCTACACACAACCCACTGCACCACACGCCTCCACATCTACATGTGATTATTATGTTTTACTAAAGATACCGGTAGTCATTATTAATACGACTATTATTTGGCATTCAACGTTTATCACTGCGTGGATTTGCGCAAGTGTATGTAAATGGACACATTGCTTATTTTTCACATTTTAAAGCATGTTTACTTTCCACATCTACTTACATTTTTTGTTATACAATATGTTGACATACAAAACATATGATCAGCCTATAAAAAAAGCATGGCTATATTATATACACTTTTTCTATCCAACACAAATGACTTTCGACTTAATGCTGCAATGTAGAGCATTTTGTATATTAGCATGGGATCACATGAACATATAGCACATATTTTACAGGACAGAGCTTGGTAGCATCGTTTCTACTTTCGCTAACTGGCCAGCACCAAGGAACAGACCAAAATAGTTGGCAACTAGCTGGGAAAGCTATATCTAGCCAGTAGAAAAAAAACATATATTCTGAGGTATCTTTTGACAACCAAACAAACAAAGGGTGAATATTTGCACACATGACTTGCATTCATCAGGATGCCAGGGACAGAATCCAAATCAGCACCAATCTTGCTCCTGAGCTGTTGGATATATAATTACCTTGTTCCTGCATCAAATAGGCAAACAAAAAAGATTATTATTACACTGATGTATTGCTATTCTACTTTAAAATATTGCTCTGTGTGAAATGTTATTTTATTGTAGCTTTGTGCACTATGCTGGTAACGTGTGCGATTGGCTGCCTGCACAGTTGTTCAATTCCAGCACTCAACATGAAGCTGGACTGAGTCATTTTCACAAATACATATTGACTTGCTTGTTTGGTTTTGCAGGTGTGAAGTTGATTGTTAACTCCAGTGTGCTTGTTTGAAAGAGGGTTTTTGGCAAAAACGTAATTGTGTTGTGCTACAGTAGGAAGGGTGGGGTGAGGTAACTATTTGATTTTACTACAGACCATCTTCTATACATGTGTACCTACTGTATTGCCATTGTGATGTCTGTCAAAAAGCCAATAAAAAGATTTTGAAAAAAACAAAAAAACAAGCAAAACAGCAACGGCTATGAAAACCAATCTAATGCAGTATATCCAGTAATCCATATCTGGCGTCACAGTCAATGTTACAGTAAGCAAGCACTGGACATTCAAGGCAACTGCTGTAAAATGATATATCACATTACCTTATAACATTACATTTAGCTGAAGCTTTTATCCAAAGCAACTTAGAATTAGTGCAATAAACAATAAAGATATAAACTAAGTACAACAATAAAAGAGCAGGTATATTTGTCTCACATAAGGCAATATATATACACAGAGATATCACTGGGTGCGCTCCAGCAAAACTTACCAATATAGTGGCCAATTTAGGCTACATTTTAAAGATGTATGTTACATACACCCAAAGCTCTGTGTTATCTACCAAAGACAACAACTAATAGATTATATCAAGCCTACATGAATTAGGCAACATGTTGCTTTAAGTTTTGTAAATTAGATATTCATAGCCGCCACTATCACTATGGTAAAGGCCTAGCTGGCAGCTGTAGCAGGGCTAACAACTACAACAGTGTTGACTTTGTTGGATGTATAAAGAGAACCTGGGCGGTGTGAGTAGAGGATGGACGTCACTTTTCTGCTACGCTGCAGTTACTTAGGTTAGTTATCAGCAGTAAAGGCCGTATGAGTGCAGTGCAGAGTGTGGCCATTAGCTAGCCACATGTGCTAACATGGACGTGCAGCCGGCCCGGTTAAACTATACACAGAGAATGGGTGTGACTTCATTTTTAGCTAAAAGCTTTAAGAGTTCAACTTTAAAACTTTTCCATTAAAAATATTTAAACATATATAAGGGGGAAATGAGCTCAGCTTTAACACACACCTGTTCTCCATTCCACACTGGACAGCATGCACCAAGAGTGAAATCCTGTCTGCTACCTGTTAGCTCTTAATGAGACAATGGCCTACAGGTGTGTGCCTTCCAGAGAGACAGGCAAAGCGAAGAGCCACTCTAGAGAGGCCTAGAATACATGTAATACACAGGCAAACAAATACATCATAACAGTCAAAGCTTAATTGTATTCTAGTATTAAGTGAGGCAGTTTTAGGCTGCAGCACTTCCAGATGGATGAAGACAAATGTAAGTTTGGTGACAGCAGTTCAGGGGGAGTTCTCATGTGACAATGGACTGAACAACTTCAAGTAATAAAAACAAGAGCAACAGGGCAGATGACTAAGTGTTTCTGTAACCCTATTACATTTTACATTTACTAATTTGTCAGGTGCTTTTGTCCAAAGTGAAGTACAAATTAGGCACGCACACTCCAAACCATGGCAGAATCAGAAAAAGGCTTAAATAATAAGTGCCACAAGGTTGCAGGTGCTTGAAAGAGGTTCAAGCTTGCATGTACAGTACATCATCCATTGCTATGAAAAATAGAAAGAGACATTGACAAAGATGCAAAGAATATAACATGGGAAAACGTGCACAATCAAATTCCAGAATTACATTTTATGTTGTTTTGGGCACAAAGTAAATAACAAGTGTTAGAGATTAAAAGGGATTAAAAGGGATATCTGGTCCGCTTTTCAAATCTCTGCGCGTCCCTATCAAGCTGGTTAATACAGGAAGAAATCCAGAGCTACCAAGTAAACAATATCCACTTTAATGGTAATATGACAATCAATACAGTACAAATTCAATACAGTTAATCTTTGGGATCCCGAATTTACCTGCACGTGAGCCAGCCAGAGGAAAGAGACTGAACACCGCGTGTGTTTCTGTGTTTCTACTCTTTGACAATGGGAGGAGTTATCAG